GGCTGAATAATATTTCATTGTGAGTATATATATATACTACAACAAAATGTATATAACATTTTGTATATATATATAAAACATTTCCTTTCTCCATTCATCTGTTGATGAACATTTAGGTTGTTTCTGTATCTTAGCTATTATGAATATGCTGCAGTGAAAATATCTCTTCAAGATCCAGATTTCAGTTCTTTTGGATATATACCAAGAAGTGGGATTGCTGGATCAATTTGCTCCCTGTTTTGAAAGTAGGACACCCTCTGGACATTTCGACAACTGAAGTGATTCTTACTTTTGGAAGTCAGGCTATTTGTTGGAATGGTAGAAAAAAAGCTAGAGCCTAAAAATAAATCTAAAGTTGTAGAGGGATTATTACTGATGGATAATTAAAGGGTTACTGATACTCTAAATACATTTTAAAAAGTTGTTTGATTAACAAGTCAAAACAGATGGTTTCATGACATTTTTGAGAGGACTAATAGAGACCCAACTGAATGAACAAATCACCATGGTGTGCAGAATATTGAAAATTCACTACTAGTAGATTTATGACCTATTTCTGGGTATTTCATTCTCATTTGGTTTATCATGGTAAATCACTGGGAAACCGATAGCTAATAAGACATGACAGCAAACTAGACTTTAGCAGGACCAGCATCAGGGCTGTGTGATTTATTTTAGGAGACTGTGTAGTCTATCGGGCACAAAGTGGCTCAGTGAAAGCTTGGTTGGCTAAGACTTTTTGAGCTTACTTGAAAGAGTACCAAGGATGAAAATGTCATCTTGGCTAATTGGCCTGCTAGTTGATTTAAAAAATAAGCAGTAAAAAACATTTCCAGTAGATTTTAGCAAAGTTTAATATTTTGAGGGGGGCAGAAATGTAGCATATTTGTGGATCTTAAATCTGAATTTGTATCTTTTTCTGGACTTTGTCAGTGTCTTTCTCTCTCTCTCTCTCTCTCTCTCTCTCTCTCTGTCCCTTCCATGTTTCCCTCATTCTCTCTTTCCTTTCCTGGTAAGTACAATGAAAAACATGTTTTGTTTTTTTCTTATTTTTTTTAACTTAATAACGATTAGAAAAATGTGGCACATATACACCATGGAATATTATGCAGCAATCAGAAATGATGAGTTTGTGTTGTTTGTAGGGACATGGATGAATCTGGAGAACATCATCCTCAGCAAACTGACAAAAGAACAGAAAATGAAACACCGCATATTCTCACTCATAGGCGGGTGATGAAAAATGAGAACACATGGACACAGGGAGGGGAGTACTAAACACTGGGGTCTATTAGAAGGAAAAAGGGAGGGCCAGTGGGAGGGGGATGTGGGGAGGAATAGCCTGGGGAGAAATGCCAAATGTGGGTGAAGGGGAGAAAGGAAACAAAACACACTGCCATGTGTGTACCTACGCAACTGTCTTGTATGCTCTGCTCATGTACCCCAAAACCTAAAATGCAATAAAAAATAAAAATAAAAAAAGATGCATAGTTCAGCAGTCATAATGACAAAATATATGATGCTTCCAAGCCAAAAAATAAAAAAATAAAAAATAACAACAGCAACAATGACAACGGTCAAACTCTTGAACTCTGGCCACAGTCCAGATCAATAGCCTTTTCCTTGTTGTTACCTTGGAATTAGGTTCTTAAACCCTCACTGCTCTTTGTATATGTCTGCACAATACTTATCGATTTAAAAGAAGTACTTCAATTTCACACTAAAGTGCCAGGACTATCCTATTTTCACTCATTTTTAACTTTCTTCTTTTTTCTTTCCCACACCTCTGCCATTGCCAAACTGATTATCTCTGTTTTTATCTTTTCTTTAAGACTTTTTAAGGCAGTGAAAAATGGGCTTGCTTAGAAGGCTGATACTCTCAGTGTTAGAATAACCCAAGGGATAGAATGATTTGAGTCAACTTATGGGTGTTTTTGATCACATATAACTGTTTTCAAACCTGCCGTTCATGATGGATCACTGACTCTAGCCCTGGCCCTGACCCATCTCAAAAAATTACTAGCATGATTAACACTTAGACTCTTGGCTTGAAGTTTAGTAGCCTGAAGGAAAATTTCCAGAGGCATTATAATAAGGAAATTTAATTAAGAGTTAATGTTGACTCAGGAATATTATGCACAGCATTGATCCCCAGTGTTGCTAATGAATTCATTATGCTGCAAATACAAGTGATTTGTTAGTACATTGGCCAATAAAAGTGAAATCTGTCTCAACAAGAATGTTGAAAGAAGGCAGGCAGTGAAACTTTCATCTCTACTGGGAGTGAACTAACTTGCCAAATCTGGGTCATCAATCATACTAAAAGGGTTCAAAACAAATCATGCATCTTTCACGGTTCGTTGTATTCATCAGCACTTTTGAAGTCACCAGTCTAGAGTAGTCGCCTTTGGCCAAGTTCTCAGTAGCCTGTGGTTTAGGCAATAAGCCTCAACTGTCTTTCTCAAGGATATGTTCCCAGGTGGTTGTACTCCATGGGCCACTTTCAATCAAATCTGAAAGGACAAAAGGGCAGTTCTGTTTATAAGAAATGACATCATATTATAACCTGAAAATCGTTGTCTTAAAAGTCAAGTAATTATCTAAAAGATCTCTTAGAATTACTTAGAGCTTGAATGCAAAAGACTGAATTTCCCACTCCTGTACTTGGCCAACACTCATTACACAGGCAAAAAAGTACAGTAAGTGTGACTATGTGAGCCTATGTGTATATGTAGTGTGTATAGGTGTTGGGGGTGGCAGGAAAGACAGCTCAAATATGAAATAATTGAATTATTAATTGCCACTGTTCTGATGGCCTTTTTAAAAAATGTTTTATTTGGAAATTTTTTCAAACACACTGGAAAGCTTCATGGTTAGTACAAAAAAATAAAACCACATACATTCACTCAGCGTAAACATTCCACCTCATTTGCAGTATCACTCTTTGTGCACATACCCACAAATACACATACACGTTGTTTTTTTCTCTGAACCACCTGAGAGAAAACTGCACACATCATGGCTCTTAAACTCCTCGATGTATTCCTCCCAAGAATAAGGACACTTTTCTGTATAACTGTAGTCTCAAATATCTGACTGCCTTAGAATTTTATAGCATGACTTATTTAGGCCTTTTTACTTTCAGTTCTAACTCAGATACTGAGCTATAGAAGAACAGCTCAACTGTTAGTTGAGGGATAGCTCAGATATCTGAGGAAAAAAAGTCACATCACCAACATTTTTAATTTTGCAAATATACACAATATACCAATGTATGGGAGATTAAAAAAGTACTGATTTTAGAGAAAAATAGATGAGTTAATATAAATAAAGATTCTCCTTAATTAACACATCTTTTATGTTTGGTGATGTGTCTTTTTTATAGCTAGCTAGCATTTATTCGGACAGCCAGAGAATCTTGTCTTTCTGTATTTCTTATCCTGTTTTTCCTCTTGTGATCAGCTAATTCTAGGTTTTGAAAGAATGAAGTAGTTCCTACTTAGATAATGCTATTGCCTAGCTCCCTAACAGTAAGAAGTGGAGAAGTAAAGTGGACACTGGTGATGCTGCCTTTAGTCCTGGAGGGAGTGTCATCCAATAGGTAATCATTCTGACCACCTAGCACAATCATCCCTTACTTTACTGAGATAGGTAGTGGTAGGTCTCTATGCAATATGGTATTTACAGCCATTTTATACTTCCTATCTTAAAAAAATATATGCAGGCTTCCACTGCTGGGAACAGATAATCAATATTTATGTTTCATAATCTGTGCAGCTAACTTTGATAGCTAACACATTTCTGACAGTTGCAATTTTTTTTCCCAAAAGGAGTTTGAGCATGCCTATTCCTCTCTACCCAAGTATATTTAACAGTATTTCTATGGATTGGGGAATCTAAGTGAGGATGACAATGTGTCAGGAATTAGAATGGGTAGGAAGAGTCTCTGTAAGAGGATGGTGTGATGCTGGAACAATTTATGAAAATTGGGTCCCCTGGTAACTGTAGTGGATGTTATACAGACAGTCCTGCAAAGTCACCCGCAAGGCTGACTCATTGACAACGTACACATGGAAGTGGGCCTCGTGTGTGTGTAAATAACAAGTTTCCTACTGCAGGCAAACTCTTCATTTATTCACTTGGCCCATTTATATTACGGGCTACTGTTCTAGGAGCTAGGGATTTGGTAATAAATGATAGCCATGGTCTGTAACGTCATAGAGCTTACACGTAAACTATTTTGCTTTAAAATATTGTACATTCAGAGGTGTTTGTGATCTTACTATATGATTGCAGTATGTCATTTGATAAACTTTTCAGGCATGACTTGAATCCACCAGAACTTAGCTTTACATCTATTCGATTGACAGGAGGGGAGATGGCTTTAGATGGCTTTAGATGACAAATCATGGAAAGAAATAACTTTGAAAAGATCCTCCAGTTTGTAATGGCTTAACAAGGATAGTGTTCTTGTGAGACTATTGAATAAGAAGAAATATATGAACATTCATATAATTCAAGTATCTAAATGATACAAACACCAATAAATATATGAACATCCATATAATTCAAGTGTCTAATGAATGAGGGAGAGTGCCTGCGGGAAGGACAGCCTCCCAACAATGGAAACAGGGTTATTCTTCAATGTAGGGAGATCAGTTTTTTGGTTCATCACAATGGCTTTCAGGCTGGAATGATTTCCAAGTAGGGCAGGGAAGATAAATATCTGAAGCCTAAGGGAAGCTCCAGGGTAACTCTTGTAGTTTTGTTGGCAGATTTTCTAAAAAGCATTGTCAGATGGTTTTGGAGCAAGTGGTTTAGCATCTATTACCACACAGTATATTCAAATCAGAGTAAACTGGGAGAAAGTCATCCAACATGCAAATCTCAGCCTGGCCTATGTGCACATATTTCTTCTTAAGACTAAGCCACAGGGTAACATGCTTATTACCTCGGTGGTGAAGTAATCTGTACACCAGAGCCCCATGACATGCAATTTACCTATATCACAAACCTGCACGTGTACCCCTGAACCTAAAATTTTAAAAAAATTATAGATATGTTAAATTTGAGATGTTTATGGAATGTCAAAGCAAAAATGGTGAAGGAACAGACATATGACACAAAAAAGACTAAGCTATAGTCCTGTATCAGAGTGAATAGGAGTTTTTTGATATTGGTGTTTGCAGTAGTTCGGATTTTATTCAGCAGTAAATAGATTTAAAATCTAAGTAGCTTAAGCAAGATAGATATTTATCTTTCACGTAAAATCTGAAAGTAGGCTGTCCAGAGTTCATATGGCAACACTATCCAGTACTGTCTTCAAGGAGACATGCTCTTTCCATCTTATTGCATTGTGAGATGTGGCCTCTGTTGCTAAATTCAACTCATGGTCCCAAATGGCTGCTCCAACTCCAGCCATCAGCTTCACATTCTAGCCAGTAGGAAAGAGAAAACAATAAAAACAGACAGATAAAAAGATAGATGATAAACGTCTTTTAAGGTACATTTCTAGCATATCTACATCATATCTATGTAACACTTCTACCAACTCATTCACCAAAACTTAATTATATGGCAACACCTGGCAACCAAGGAGGCTGTGAATTTTCTGTTTTGGGCAGTCACATGCTTACATGAAAATTGGTATTTGAACACAACTGATGAAGAAAAGCATCAATATTAGGGGACAGGTAGCAGTCTCTGCCACAATGTTGCTGATTAATACTGCATACATTTAAAATATTTAATATTAGCCTGCAGCACTCTATTTGCAATGCAATGTATGGTATAATCTTTTACCATATGAACTGAGGAGCCACAGTGTTCAGGGAGGTTGTGTTATTTCATGCTACAATATTTTACCTGCCCTAGGTAAGGGTCTAAAGATAAAACATGCTAGGCTAATTAATTTTAATGGCATATAGCAATAGATTTCCAGCTTTAAAGCTTGCATTTCCACCTGCAGTTTGGGAAAGGAAAAATCAATAGCATAAAACAAAAGTAGTTCTAGAAACGGGTGATCTTCATGTTCTTACCACCTCATATCCTCATCTAAATTTGAATCAAAGGTACATTCTGACCTTGTCGTAGAGACAGTCCTAAAGTCTCATGAGAGAATTACTGTGCTTGTTCTAACAAGACTCTGTTCCCGCAGGTATGCCAAAATTTGATAGCTACAAATAGCGAGATTTGAAAGGAGAGAGGCGTGGGAGGTAATTTCTTTTAACTCAACTGCATCTGGTGGATTAAGGTAGACAATATTACCATTTTGCTGACAGGAGGCAGACATGGCACTAAAGAGGGAGAATGAGCAACCACAGAGCTGATTTAATTTCCAGTGGGGTTTATGGAAGCGCCAAAACATGATGTAGCCAAATGTTCCTAAAAGTATGAAGTAATTCAGTTTGTTCCATCATTACAAGAAATTAAAGCCAAGCACAATTACATCCCAGTAGTAAAAGGAACCCGCTCAATTGCCATTGTTATTGACTGAATGAAGTGAGATTTCTGATTACCTTGTCCAGCACATTTTAATTTCTGTCTGTCCATTTATTCCAAATCACATTACAGGGCCTTAACTGATCATGACAAAATAAGCTACATTATTAAGGTGCAGTTTAACCTGAGAAGCTTATGTTTAATTACTAGATTCAGGTTTTCAAATGGGCATGTCTTCTAGATTTCAGTACATTTAGGGATGTAGTTAATTGAGATTCTTTGTTTCTTATGTGCAAAAGAGACCCAAGTTTAAAGGGAAGACTTAAACTTATGGAACTGATTCTTTTTTTCTTCCACCAAGAGGCTCTCCATAGACAGGTGTCTGTTCTTTTGGGAGTGGGCTCACACCTCCTGAATGCTGTGATTGAGAGAGCTGCCTCAATAGAGGAAAGCCCCTGGTAGAGGGTAGTACCCAGATTTTCAAGAGGAGGGGAGTTGGGCGAATAAATGATGTACAGTGAACCCTCTCATAAGTAGAGTGTCTAGATGACTTAACATTCAAACCAGGACACTTTTTTAGAATGAAAGGCAATGCTATTCACAATTATACTGGTGTAACAGACATAGACTTGGAAAGTTCCAGGTAGATTGGGATGTATGGTCTCTGTACCCATAAGGAAGATGAGGCAATAGATATATAAACAAATAAATGTAATAGTCATTATAGGTACCCAGAGAATGAACGGCTCTATACGACACTGAGGGTGGTGGGTATGGAGAACAGAGTCATTCTCCTAAGGATTTCTCTCCCCTGGCACAAAAGTTACACAATTCATGTGATATCTTGTAGCATGAAGTTTGTAGCTCCCTGTACAATATTCATATTCCTCTACCAGTCCAGTTATTGAGTCTCAGATGCATTGGAAACTATGGAAATATAGAAAAGAAACCTTAATAGGGGAAATGTTTCATGCTTTTTCAGTTCAATTCAACAAACGTTTATTGGATACCTAGTATATGACAGCCAGCGTTTAGCACCAGAGATCAAAAAATGAATTCAGTATGGTTCCAGCCCTGGAGAAATTCAGTCTAGTAATAAACACATAATTGTGATAGATTGTTTAGTGATTTAGTGACTTAAAGAGTTAACTTCTGATTTGGTTCTCATGCATCAAACATAATATTTGCCAGTGTCTATCACTACAAGGAACCCTGGATTTTTCCCACTCCCCTACTAATGCTAGACAGTATGGCAAAATACACAGGCTGATCAGGTTGTTTTCGAAGCTCTTTTAAGCCAGAGGTCTTTTGTTTTCCAGACTGCTAATTTATTTTTTTTCCACCCAGAAAGCCCTTCCCTACCATCTGAGCTATTCTAACCAAATCAGCAAAGATGAGCTACTGAGATTTAGGATGTCTGGGCTAAAAAGGTTTGCTTGTTTAATTAGATAAATAACTTGAGAATGCTGTCTGGGATTACTGTTCCTAACCACATTAATAAATGCTGGGAAGGCTATCTCAGTTATCTAATGTTGGATAACAGCCTGTTGGAAAAGAACGAAGCTTCAAAGTGAGCTAAGAAAGATGCAAAAAACCCTGACATGCTATGCTCTAGGTGCCTGCATGTAAAATTCATCATCATGGTGACTTTAAGACCACTTGTTATTTTTCAGGTACTGCTTTACATACATAGTCCTATTTACATAATTTTCAAAACCATGCTGTGATATAGGTACTGCTTTCTCCATTTTATAAATTAGAAAACAAGCTATGTTAATTTGCTTTTATGAGGTCTCAGGCAAGTCAGTGTCAAAGCTCAGATTTGGAAACAAGGACTGCCTTACTCCAAAAACTGTTCTCTTAAATTTAAGAGTTTGTAAGGTCCACTCAAGGATTGAGAGGAACAGGGATCTGCCAGTCTTGTTTCTGCAGGAGGAAGTGGGGGGGGGCAGAGCTGGATCTAACCAAACAGGATAAATTTAAGTGCCAGTTTTCCATGAAGGAGAATTATGCCAGCAATGATTACTCACCTTGACGAATTCATCTCTAAGCATTCTTTGCCCCGCAAAGAGAGCAGGATCCTGGGCCCACATGGGGAGGAGAAAAAGGTAGATAATGGGAGCAAAGTGAGGAATCCAAGCTGCAAAATGTAATTGAATTCTCAAAGCACTGAGTTCTCTTCACTCCTTTCTCTGGCAGCTCCAGTTTTTTCTCCTTTGCATCCCACAGTCGCTACCTTAAAAAGTCCTTTTTAATGTGATACATATATACTATGGAATACTATGCAGCCATAAAAAAGAATTGAGTTCATGTCCTTTGCAGGGACATGGATGAAGCTGGAAGCCACCATTCTCAGCAAACTAACACAGGGACAGAAAACCAAAAACACCACATGTTCTCACTCATAAGTGGGAGTTGAACAATGAGAACACATGGACACAAGGAGCCTATCAGGGAGTGGAGGGCAGGGTGAGGGATAACATTAGGATAAGGCATGCAGGGCTTAAAACCTAGATGGGGTGCAGCAAACCACATGGCATATGTACACCTATGTAACAAATCTGCATGTTCTGCACATGTATCCCAGAATTTTTTTTTTTTTGAGACGGAGTTTCGCTCTTGTTACCCAGGCTGGAGTGCAATGGTGTGATCTTGGCTCACCGCAACCTCCGCTTCCTAGGTTCAGGCAATTCTCCTGCCTCAGCCTCCTGAGTAGCTGGGATTACAGGCATGCGCCACCATGCCCAGCTGATTTTTAGTATTTTTAGTAGAGACGGGGTTTCACCATGTTGACCAGGATGGTCTCGATCTCTTGACCTCGTGATCCACCTGCCTCGGCCTCCCAAAGTACTGGGATTGCAGGCTTGAGCCACCGTGCCCGGCCAGAATTTAAAGTAAAAAAAAAAAAGTCCTTTTTAAACACTGTCTTCCAAATGCTGTCAGATTCCAGTCGGTTGAATTTCTGCACTTTTAGAGACTCATGGTCATTTTTTCATCCTTCACTCTGGTGGTTGTAGCTGCCTTCCTCCTTCTCACCCTCACTCCTAGGCTTCCACTTTAGAGAATTTGGATAACTGGGGAAAGAAAAGACTGTTTTTTTGCATGGTGTGCCTGCAGCCTAGTGCCATGAGCTGGTTCTTGCCATGTCTGTCTAAGCCACCAGCTCCACTGTTTCTGTGGCTCACACACTATTCCCTGTAGCCCAGCTAAGCTTGCAGACTGTGATCATGAACTACCAGGTGGAGGGGAGCATGGATATCTTCCCCAGGAAGCCTGGCCAGATCCTCTGAAATCTTTCGACCTGTGCATACCTCTACCAGAGCACACCTTAATTTCTTTTGAATTCACTGCATTTATTCATTTGTTAGTGGTTTGCACCTTAATAATGTAGCTTATTTTGTCATGATCAGTTAATTTGTTCAGGTATAGCTGCGATCATTTGACAAAGCCTATTCCTGAGTAACTGCTGGAGCCGGGAAAGGAATCCTTTCCTTTTGACTCCGAATCAAATAGTCTTTCAATGACCCCTTGCTAGCATTTCAGATTCCAAAAACACTTCTTAATTTCCCTACATTAAAATTATAAGGTCCTTATGGGCTATCTAAAATGCTACTCTCAGGAAGGTTTCTGTCTCTAGTGCTAAGCCCTGTTGATGTTAGAGGTGCAAACTGGCCACTAAGAGCTATAGACTTATTTTGTTTGTCCCTTAAAATGTTTAACTTTTAAAAAATTAGTTACCCAAAATTTTAAAACATAAATTTTATCTTAAACATTCAAATGTGGGTAACCGGGTATGGTAGCTCATGCCTGTAATCCCAGGACTTTGGGAGGCCAAGGCAAGTGGATCACTTGAGGCTGGGAGTTGAAGACCAGCCTGGCCAATATGGTGAAACCCTGTCTCTACCAAAAATACAAAAATTAGTCAGGCCTGGTGGTACACTCCTAATCCCAGCTACTCGGGAGGCTGAGGCACGCAAATCACTTGAACCCGGGAGATGGAGGTTGCAGTGAGCCAAGATTGCACCACTGTACTCTAGCCTAGGCAACAGAGTGAGACTATGTCTCAAAAAAAAAAAAAAAGAAAAGAAAAGAAAAGAAAAATATCAAAATATGGGCATTCTTTTGAAAGATCGGAAGATTTGATAACAGTTGGCTAGCATTCCAACAATCTGCCCCTACCCTCCACAGTTCTAGCCACTGCACCCAGAGTACCCACCAACCATGTCATTCATTTATTCACATGGTGTAGACAAACCTATAGGCATTTGCTGAGTGACTGCCACTTTATGTGTTCTATTTGTAAACTTGTAGTACCCTGAGTAAACTTACACATTATGGAGAAATGACTTCAAAAAATATGCACAGTAGTTAGCTCAAATCTTCTTATGTGTTCTGCTCTCACATGAAGTAGAGAAGTAGAGGGAGTTTTTAATTATAAAAAGGGAGGAAGAGAGAAGAGGGAAATGAAACTAACACTCATTAAGCAAGGTAATTTCTTACTTCAGTGTTTTCAAACCAATTGGTATATTTCAAAATCAATTTAGCAGATCACAATCAATATTTTAAAAATTAAAATAGAAAACATCAGAGTGAATTATATACGGTAAGGGTAAATATTATTTCATGTTAAAGTCTGTTTTGATTCTCTGTATTGGATCGAATATATATCTACTCTTGTGTGTATGGTATATACTGTTCCAATATATATACATTTCATATATATCATTCTTTTTATTGGTTTAACTTATAAATGAAATGCATGGTTTGTTAAAGATGATAAACAAATTTTGCAATGACTATTATATATAAAACACAAGAGTTATTTAAATAGGAGTTCACTGCTCTCTTCTACCTCTTAAAAATAAATATATGTATCAAACCTTTTTGTACATATTTTTTATATTACTGAAAGTCAGCATCCACATGCCTTCAAAAATGAGCATCTCCTACTTTAAATAAATGTACCAGGTCATAGTATAAAATATAAATTTTACTGTGGTTTACTGTCAATAAACTTTGTAAACCACTGCTTCATTTCATATAATCTCCAAAACCCTGTATGAGTGGAGTCTGGGGCTTCAGAAGAAGATGATAGTCTTCACAGAAGTTGATATTCTTTACTGTTTACTTGTTCTTGAAGGTCTGGTTAGCTGGGGACTTGAAGGTGATGAAGAAGGACACTTTGAAGGTGGACAGGTGTAATTACTGGGTCACCAAGAACAAATTTGAAAAACAAAATATACTGATTGAAATTAGTATGTAGAACCTAAATATCTGGAAGCTTCTTCATTGAATAAATTTGTAGCAAAAGTTTATGTAAACTGAATTAATAATTCCAAGTGAAAACCTTATTTTCTTTTGAGACAGAATCTCACTCTGTCCCCAAGGCTGGAGTGCAGTGGTGTGATCTCAGCTCACTGCAACCTTTGCCTCCCAAGTTCAAGTGAGTCTTGTGCCTCACTTGAGACATAAGATTAGATTTAGCAGAGATGGGGTTTCCCTATGATGGCCAGGTGGTCTCAAATTCCTGGCCTCATGTGATCTGCCCAAAGTTCTGGGATTATGGGCGTGAGCCACGATGCCTAGCTGGACAAAACTTAACTCATAAAACTTAATTCAACAATTTAAGAGTTGTACTTCAAGAGTGAAGGTATATAATGAAAATATGAAGTCATCAGAAGGACACATGTACAATAATTAATTTCAGTAAATCTCAAATTTGTCTCTAATCAAAAATCTTCTACTCATATTTATGTCTTAATTATCATAATGTAACATTTCTATATATTAAATAATATTATCTAGTAAATATGCCCTAGAGATTGTGTGTGTGCGTGTATATGTATGTATGAGTACACCCATATATTTTCAGACAATTGGAAGAAAATTGTTATACAGTTGTTTTTCTTTCATAAAGGAGCTGTCATTCAAGTGTAAAGTTGGAGTATTCAAAATAAAATTTGGGCTTAGAAGATCAGGGCATGGCAAGAGTTATCCAGATTGCTGTGGTATCAAAACCCCTTTGCTTTTATGTTTCCAAAAGCCAATCTTAAGGATGGAAAACACATAAATGATATGCCTTCTACATCTTCCTTACTAAGATTACTGCAGCTTAAATAATCGAAAGTAGCAAGTACCATCAATACTGTTCCTAATTGTGTTACTTTTCAGAAAGGTACAAGGGCTAACCACTTTAGGTATCAAAAATAGGTACACGTTGTTTTGATAATTTTGACTATGTTTTAAAAAAAGATAGGGAGGAGATAAATTACTATTAAAAGCAGCTTTTATATGTTACATGTAACAGATGATAAATACAAGTTTTTAACAAATCACACATTTAAGTTGAACTGAACCTCCCAAAAAAGATAGGGATATGAATATATGATTTTTAGATTAAAGTTATATTTTTTTATTTTTTAATTAGTTTTAACATTCAAATAAAGTGTGGGAAAAAATGGCATGGAGGCCACCTTCTAGGGTATATATTTTTAGCCCTATTTTACAAAAAAGAAAACTCAAGTACAGAGAAGTTAATTTGCCCGAATTTGTCACATGGTTGCTAAGTTGCAGAGCCAGCATTTGAACCATTGCTCCGAACGTCACACTCTTTCTATTGCTTGTAACTGTCATCGTAGACCACTAAAGTGGACACCTTCACAACTCTTTGCTTTCACTGCATCTGGACTACTATAATGGCTTCTTATCTCCGTCCTTCTTTCTTCTCCATTGTATCCTCTTGGGCTACCAGTGCACTTATCCAATTCCCACAATATCCATTAGCTCAAGGCCACACATTTAAGTGTTCAACTCTATTTCCTTTCTCCTCCCTGGAACGTGTCTACTCTACTCAACCCATTTACTGCCCATACATGCAGGCTTTATTCAGGCTGCAGAGTTTCTTCTACCTGAAAACAATGCCAGCTGATTCCCTCCTCCCACAGCCATTTAAACCACAGACTTCCTTGAAGACCTACATCCAGGTTTACCTTCTTCCTGAAACCCAGCACACTGAGCTACAGTCCATACACACCTCCCTCTCCCTGCTCAAACTACAGTAGCACTCCCAGACTGAATGATTTATATGCTACCTTACACTGTCTCTAGGCAGCAGCCGATCATATGTCTGATTTTCTCAGCAGGTTATTATGGTTCCTTTCTGGGTCCATCCTGCTGAATCTTTCATGTTCTTGTATTTCACAGCAACTAGCACATCAGAGAGGCTCAATAAATATGTATGGATTTTTTGACTCTTCTCTTTCAGGGGGAAAAATGAGAGAAAGAAAAGAAGAAAGGGGAGGGAGGAAGATTACTCTCTCACCATTTCTCAATAGCATACAAAGTCAGGAGGACAAGAAATAAAATGTCCTTAGTGGAGATTTCGAACATCCGGGAACCTACTAACACATGTATTTGTTAATGTTTTGGACTCACCTGACCTATAGGTATAGGTGTAGGAAAACCTATTCCAGGTATTCTTCAAAAGGTGATAGTTGTATGAAAACAAGCATTCTAAAATGAAACAGGTTTAGATAATACTTGTTAATAAAAGTAAATAAAATTTGTTAAATTTACATAATACTTGTTAATAAAATTAATTTTGTTGTGGATCTTCTAGCTTTTGGTAGGTTCATGTCCATTTGAAATCACTGTAAAAAGGCTACATATACAAATTCCCAAGCTTATTTGACCACAAAATGTCATTAGTAAGGAGAATCTTATGGGGACAATATTGATTGGAACATAATTTGGGAAATGTTTGGAATGCTCTTCCCAGTACCTCAGTGTAAGTGATGTTCTGTCATTACCCAAAGACGAATACGTATTTTTTTCCTACATAGTTGACTTTTCATGATTTGGTGTGGTCTTATAAAAGCTATTCTATTTTGTTGTTGTTTGTTTTCGAGACAGAGTCTCACTCTGTCCCCCAGGCTGGAGTGCAGTGATGCCATCCTGGCTTGCTGCAACCTCCACCTCTGGAGTTCAATTGATTCTCCTGCCTCAGCCTACCGAGAAGCTGGAACTACAGACATGTGCCATCATGCCTGGCTAATTTTTGTGTTTTCAGTAGAGGCAGGGTTCTACCATGTTTTCTAGGCTGGTCTCAAATTTCTGGTCTCAAGTGATCTGCCTTGATCAGCCTCCCAAAGTGCTGGGATTACAGGCGTAAGCCCCGTGCCTACCCTAAAAGCTGTTCTGAATCTTAGATTGTTTACTCACATTTGGCTCAAAACTGGTTAATATTTAAGGGTTGATGGTGATGATAGGAAAATTGTCATTGTCTTAGGATTGAGAACCTGTGAGAAAGGAAGGAAGCCCTCACATATTAACTACCTTATTGAAAATTAACTTATTTAAACAACTCTGGAAAGTGGTTCAGTGTACTATTTTTTTTTTTTTTTTTTTTTTTGAGACGGAGTTTCACTCTTGTTACCCAGGCTGGAGTGCAATGGCACGATCTCGGCTCACTGCAACCTCCGCCTCCTGGGTTCAAGCAATTCTCCTGCCTCAGCCTCCCGAGTAGCTGGGACTATAGGCACGCACCACCATGCCCAGATAATTTTTGTATTTTTAGCAGAGATGGGGTTTCACCTTGTTGACCAGGATGTTCTCCATCTCTTGACCTCGTGATCCACCCGCCTCAGCCTCCCAAACTACTGGGATTATAGGCGTGAGCCACCGCGCCCAGCTTCAGTATACTATTTACTGGACACCTACTAATGTCAGATACAGCCCTTGGGACTTTACATTTCATATACATTTCTCATAACTGTAATTCTCAATGTATACAATGTGCTCAGGTCTTTTAAATGGCTTATTTCAGATAACACAGCAAGAACAATGGCAAGACTGGAATTCAAATTCTTGGTGACTCAAAAGTCTATGCTCTTTCTGATCTATCACACTATTTCCCATGAAGAGCTCTTATAGATTATGGATTCTTCAATGTGTGTATAATAACTTTCTTATCCAAATCTAAATCTCCATAGATATTCTTGTAAAATTATAAAATTAATTTATCTTATTTGTGTATGGAGCCAGTTCATATACAACTAGATAAGCCAAGTATACCTGATATACTCTTGAGTTCTGAAATTTGTTCTGTATAATGCATGCACAGTTAAAAAATGCAGGTTTACCAGGAGGCCAGCATAGCTTGTCACTCATATGTGTTGCTCGTAATGCAAGTAATGAGATTAAAAATTGGACGTAAGAAATTACCTTTCTGGGACCCCATTCATAGCTGTTTAAAAGGGCCTAGTCTTTTGGGGAAATCTTTTGTGTGTTCTCTCTCTCTCTCTCTCTCTCTCTCCCTTTCATCTTTCTCCCTTTCTCTCTTTCTTTCTTTCTGACAGAGTTTCACTCTTGTTGCCCAGGCTGGAGTGCAGTGGCGCAATCTCGGTTCACTGCAACCTTTGTCTCCTAGGTTCAAGGATTCTCCTGCCTCAGCCTCCCGAGCAGCTGGGATTACAGGCATGTGCCACCATGCTCAGCTAATTTTTTGTATTTTTTTTAGTAGAGACAGGGTTTCTCCACATTGGCCAGTCTGATCTTGAACTCCTGACCTCAGGTGATCTATACACCTTGGCTTCCCAAAGTGCTGGGATTACAGGTGTGAGCTACCGCACCTGGCCGTGTGTCTTTTCTTAACTCAGTCTTCAACTGTAACAAATGTGTCTTTGGCATTACTTCTTAATCCTTCGTATCTCATAGTGAGAGAGATAAAAATGCTAAGCAGAGATTTATGATAAAGTCAAAAAAAGAAGAAGGAAACAGAGATAGTGATTCTGAATACAAGATTCTGGGGCAGTGTTGATTAAAATAATTGCTTTCTCTTCTTCATTCAGGGATGTATTAAGTTGGAGTCCTTGGTGACTTTAGGGAGGTCAGTGAACAATTTTACAGTAAAAAATACTGATAATATGAACTTATGCTCACTTTTGGTGTTTGCATCAGATGCACCTTTGTGCATTAATCTGTTTCTCCCAAGCATCATACTGGTGTATTGATGGAGTCTTTAAAATTTTTACCTTATTTTGTGAGGATCATTACACATGAATGATCTATCATAATACTTGTCATCTTATTTTAACATTAATATTTCTCTTTGGTAAGACAACATGATCTGCTTGACCATTACCAAATTTTGGGGCAATGTTAGTTCCTGATACTCTTTTAAAAAAAGAGAAAGTGTTTGAAAACCAAAGACTGAGAACAAGAGATAGACGGGGTGATTACATCTAGGGAGCCACACCCAGGGCAGTATTACTGCTTGAATCTCATTTGGAAATAAATATTCTTATCTAATAGAAAACAAGCATATGTATTGGCTGTTCATTCACAAATATTTGTTGAGTGCCTGTAAATGTCAGGAATTTTCTAGATATAGAAAAGGCCTAATTATAGAAAGACCTAGACACAAATATAAAAATGACATTAGAGGCTGGGCACAGTGGCTCACGGCTGTAATCCTAGCACTTTGGGAGGCCGAGGTGGGCAGATCACAAGGTCAGGAGTTCAAGACCAGCCTGACCAACATGGTGAAACCCCGTCTCTACTAAAAATACAAAAATTAGCTGGGCATGGTGGCGTGCACCTGTAATCTCAGCTACTCAGGAGGCTGAGGCAGGAGAATTGCTTAAACCCAGAAGGCTGAGGTTGCAATGAGCCAAGATGGTGCCACTGCACTCCAGCCTGGGCAATGGAGCAAGACTCTGTCTAAAAAAAAAAAAAAAAAAAAAAGACATTAGAAAAGTCATAGAGTCAGAAGCCAGCAAATTGTGTCCAGGTGGAAAGATTGGCTAAGATTGACAGTCTTAGAAAGGATAGTCTTAGATGGAAATAAAAGAGAAAGATATTGAAAATCCAGCTGAAAAAAGGCCTTATGTGAACACAAGAAGTGTGACATTAATATGATAAGTAGGAGAGAGTTGTGCAGCAGGTTGTTAAAAGAGTGAAACAATAAAGCCAGGGTTTAAGGAAAATTATTCTGACTTTATAAACAGGACTGTGATGAGAAAAAGTGAATCCAAGGAGATCCAGTAGTAGATTATTATATGAATCTAGAAATATACAGATGAGAATTTGACTGAAGGTGACAATTACAGAAATTAAGAAGAAATTGGTGAAGTCAACTGACAAAGTACTAGATGGGAATATGGTAGGGGCGGGAGTAGAGAAAAGATGAGTGTAAATATACTCCCAAACTTTCTATTTATCAATAACTTTATTTCTGAGAATATCTCAGTTTCAAATAGAAAACATCTACCCCTGATGAACAGTTGAGCTAAACTCACAGAATTCCAGGATCATAGTATTGGATGGAATCCTTGACAAATAACTGGTCAGTTTAGGAATTCCCTCTACAAAAATAGCTGATCCCATCCAGGTTAACTATAGTGACAACCGTAAAACTAGCACCCAACCCAGGTAGCACAATTTCAGAAATCAGAGAATAAATGAATATGAGAGCTGGGTAGGCACTCAAGATAGTCTGTACAAATTCTTTGTTTTCTCTAAGGAATACGGTATTTAGTAACTGACAAAGGAAAAGAGCCAAAGACTGTGTTACACCCTAAGGTTGACAGTATATGATGAAAACACAGATGCTTTCCTACAGTCCCCCCAGGGAAATAAAATTAATTTCTAAAATTATAACGAGAGTATGTAAATAGCATACATAATTCTAACATTTTTTTTAAAACTGCTTGCAAAAATTGTCCTGTAACTGTATTCAAACAACTTCCCGGACAAAAGCTTCTTCACTAGCATTCTTTAACACCCTCTTTAGTCTTGTGTTGCTGAAATATGTGTTTGGAATGAAAATTATCTTAGCACAAACCTGTGGGTAGACCTTGATATTTGTCTTAACTCAAACTGCTGTAACAAAATACCATAAACTGATGCCTTAAACAACAAACATTTATTTCTCACAGATCTGGAGGCTGGAAGTCTGAGATCAGGGTGTCAGCATGGTCAGGTTCTGGAGAGGGCTGTCTTCAGGGTTGCAGACTGCCCACGTGGCATGTATCCACGGGGTAGAAAGCAAGCAACCTCTGGTCTCTTTCTGTAAGGCACTAATCTCATTAATGAGGGCTCCATTCTCATGACCTAATTACTTCCCAAGGGCCTTCCCTCCAAATACCATCACACTGGGGATTAGATTTTAGCATATGAATATTGGAGAGACACAAACATTCAGTCCATAACCATATTTTCCTTTGAAATTTCCTTTTTCTTTGCTCCTGAGAGTTTTTCCTCCTAACTTTCGGTAGCTTCTCCTTCCCCTTCAGGCACTGCCTAGGATTTCCTCCTTATCTGATCATCAACCTCTTAACTGGTCTTTACTTTTCCAATCTGCCTTTATACTATTCCCAGAGTAATCCTTTTGAAAAGCAAATCTGACCCTGTGACTTTTAATGGCTTCTTAGAAGAAAACATAAAGTCTTTGATAGTAAAAACTATCTAGTAAAGTCCTCAAAGACTACTTCTCCATCTTTATCTTTGTCTAC